ATGTGTAAATAAATCGAAGAGCAACCCCAAACCCATGTGCATGCAAGGGCCGCCAAGAAACACATTATTTTAGCCCTTTGCTTCTTAATTCATTAATTTATATCAATGAAGTTTCATACGATTATATTTGGTCAATGTGAATAAATATCGGGGGAAAATGTACGTAAAATGAGGGGGGTGGGATAGTGATCGGAACTGCTTGATTTATAAATGCGGATGAAGAATTAAAAATAAAATGTTACGTGATCATGCGGAAAATAAAAAGTCGGGGATCGAACCCAGGACATCAGTATCATGGAACCAGTACGTGTGCAGTAGGGCTCCGTCTCCGCTGAAACCTTCAGGCCGATAAAGCGGTACAAGAGGCTGCTTCAGTGTTGCCACGCGCCGCGCGACCAAATCACACGCCAAAACGCAACTTTTGGGAATTTTTTACGCCCTTCCTATTGCGCATTCGGGAAAACGGCTCAAATCGACCTCTAGAATTGGTCCATGGAGTCTGTAAAAAAAAATTCAGCCCAATCGGAGGCGGCAGGTCCGTAAGTTCCCCTTGTCAGCGTCCGCGCGCCGCTGCTCGCGGCATTCGTGGCGGCACTTGGGCTCCGAGCCCGAGCGCCGCTTCCCGCTGCAGCCGGAGCGGCGGTGTAGCACTGACGCAAGCGGCCTGCGCGAATAAAATACAAGTCCCGAAAAATAAACTTTAAAAAGGTTTATTTACGAAACAGGGATCACATTTACAATCAAAACATACGATGTAAACAAAGCACAGAAGGCTTGCTCGAACTGTCGATGAATATGACTGAAGAATGAATGACGCTGCGGTCAAAGCTGAAAGTGTATATATGGGGCTTCATTATCAATAGAGGAATAATGACGTAAGATAAAGTGACGCATATAATTCGCGCGGCGTCACGCAGCGCTTTCCTAGCGGCAGTTCTGACTAATAATGAAATCTATTCGGTATTTTCTTTTCTTTTTTTTTTTTTTAAATCGGATCTTCAGGGAGTATATTTATTTCTCAAGAGAATATAATTGCATATCGAGGCTAAAAAGCTCCAAAATAAAATGTCAAAAATACTACTGATTTTCATAATCCATGAAATTTTTTCTCGTCTACTTTTGACTTCATTCCTCAGTTTTTTAGCTTCAAAATTTTAATCAGACATTCTTGAGATGTAGATATACTTCCTGTGGATCTAATTTTTTTAGGAGTAATCCCAATAAAACTCATAGTAATATATCAAAGTGTTTTCAATACACAGAACACCAAACTAAACTTATTAAACAAGGTGATTTTCTATATTATCTTGAAAATCTATTTTTCTAGGAGATAAGTTGCCTTGTGGATAAATGCGGTATGTCGCTAATAAAACTATTTATATTGAAAAACTGTTTGTATGTGGTTGCAGAAATGTTAAAAGAAATTCTCATAACTTTTCCCTGTGGCTAACTCGATTTACTTCCAACAAGTAAGAAAGAAGAACATTTTAACTAAGAAAAAAAAAATAAAAAAACTCAGATGTATACCAACAAAGATATTTTATTATTATTACCATAATTTCATTTCAAATTGAATAGCTTCTAAATTTAGGATGTAGATTATATACTGAAAAAACAATGTGACAAGTTACTTGAAAAAGAATAAAATTAAAATCAAAAGGAAGTGGTGCATGGATCAGATAAACTATGGGTTTAGTGATGATATCCCTTCGATGTAGGACTGCTGGTGTTGCGTTGAAACTTTTGTAAGGCCAAACAAAAATACAAGAACACAG